GACCGATGTCAGTTCATGATCAAGACTCTGAGCAGTCAAGTTCCTGCAAAGCAACACGTGAAAATTTTAACATCATTACCCAAGAAACAGTCCTTTTTCTGATTGATTTGAATATTTCCATGATGTATCAACCGTCTGTATAGTCTCAGTCAGTTAGAACATATAAAACATAACTTGAAAATTCCCATTCAGTCATAGAGAAGAAAAGGTGTTCAGCAAAGAGTTACTCTTTTCAGCGATATCATTCTCAAGCTGTACAAATCGCAAATTTTTAGTAATTTGTCTTGGCAACAAAAGGAATATTTCCAATATTTCACATGGCTAAGTAACTTAATCACTCCACTTGGTCGTTTGGTTCGAGACCCTCTCCACCTAATTCAGTCTAGACAACTAATTGTAAGTATTATCAGACCTCACATAAACACGAATGTAGCTCTCTGGCCTTCCGGTACATGAAAAGTATGATTGGAGTAAATGAGCTTTATTCAAATTTTACTGCCTCATCCTGTTTTATTTCCTCTTAACCCTACAACTATTTCATATGCATCAAGGAAGAGAGCAGTGTTTTCAGTCGCTTAAGGCCCTCTTTTACTAGGGTCACATTGTGGCTTTCCATACGTGAACCTTATACTCAATCGGTAGCTGATTTGCACTGGCCAGAACTCTGACATCTTGAGCTTTGTATGCATGTTGCATTTCTTAGATATATATATACATCAAAGAGTTGAGTGTTATTATTAATATTATAATTATTAATATTTTGTTAGGTTCCGAGTGTGGAACATAGCGCTTCTGCAGCACATATCTCCATTCCACCTTGTTATCTTCAATTCTTTTCACCTGGCTGAATGATTGCTGATAAGCTGTCATCTCCGATTCACACCATATCCTCCATGCCATTCTCCGACCGATGCCCAACTCGTTGTGTTTCCCCTTGTTGTGTCTCCCTGGATGGTTTTAGTGGCTCACGATGCCATTGCAGGTCTTGAAAAACTAGCTCGCTAGTCTTCTAGCCGGTCCCAAGACCGGGTAAAAAAGGGAGGGTTGGACGTGTGGGGCTAGCAACCCCACACTACTATGTATGTCAAACCGTTGAAGAAATTTCAATACACAGAAAATTTATATTAAAAATACAAAAATTTCAAATAACAAAAATCGTATTCTTTGCCGGAATCGGAGAGGTCAGTCAACCAATGTGTCTTCTCTCGATGAAAGCAAAAGTAAGAATGAGTACGAGGAATGTCCTTTATAATGTACGCGACTGGCTGGGAAGGCTGTCCAGAGGTAGCCAAAGAGATGCGAAGATATGGCTTAGAAGTACGGGGTATCTGAGAAAGCGCATGAAATGGATGTGGACTGGCAACATTGTCAACTGGTGAATCTTCTCCGGTCTCGTCACCCAGACGGCAACCACGTGCACAGTGAGGGAGTGAATGGCTATCCTTGTGCCATCAGTGGTAGTCAAAGCCCTAATGCAATTCGAACCAGTCGCTTCATCCAGGATCATGACAGCAAGATTCAACTCCAAAGGAAGGAAGGAAGGAAGGTCACAATTATCCAATGATACTCACAGTTCTACAATCAACGTGGAACAAGAAAAGAAAGAGGATCTTCAAGCAGGTCTCCAAGTCTGTGTGACTCTAGACATGAATCATCCGCGAAGTTCAAATCTTCCAGTGTCTTCTTGTCAACTCCATGTATATCTGTCTTCTTTCTCTCCGCGACCGAACGCCACTCAAACCCTCGACCAGGAAGTTCGAGTGGAAAACGATGTGTTGGGAGGTTTATGCAACGGTAACATAGCGAAGATTGCACGAGGAAGAGCAGGAGATGAGAGTTTATGTCTGTCTGTCTCTGTCTGTTTTCAACATAAAACTTTGCACTGATATGAAGCAGTTCCCTCCATGTAGCACACAAACCAAGAGAAATAAGTAAAAAAATGCAAAAAGAGACAGTAAACAGAGAAATGAGACAAAAAGAATAGTAATATGAAAGAACAACATAGTTTTATTGGGTATTATTGTTATGTACTCGTCGACTAAATTATTGTTATGGACTGGTCGAGAAATTAATAGTCCTGACGCGAGAAGGCGGAAATCAGAAGACCACTAGGTTTGCGATGATACTTCTATTGTCCAAACACAAGGAGACGAAAATAAATGGTCTCACACCAAAGTGGTAAGTAAGTAAAGTAAAGTAGTTCACACAAATTGTGTATGCGAAATATATATGAATGTTCCAGACAAAGCGTGGGAACAAATCATTAGACAGTCTTAACATGAATGGCTAATTATAATGGAGTGTCGATCCAAATATACATAGCGAATATAGCAGACATGTCAACAAACACTCATATTATATATAATATAATATAAGGAGAATATACATTATTAAAGGAGACAAGTTCACACAAGTGAAATGGTCACAGACTAAGCGAGCAAACAGAAAGAGAGACCAACATGCACACACACACACATAAATATATATATGTGGATACATATCAATTATAAGTCACAAGGAGTGGATGCATCTGCACCAGCCAGCCATTGAGAACGATCACTTTGAGCCATATCGCCGGTTGTTTCCAGCCATTGGTGTTTACGTCCTGAGGACCTTAACTAGGAAGCCAGTCCACACCTTCCTACATGGCTGGCTTAAACAATCCACCTCTTTCTGTTTTGTCGACCACCACTGTTCATGGTCGTTACGAAGGCTTCTTGTTAGTTTGTGTTTGAGTAGCTTTCGCTCTTTATCATAATCGGAGCTCGCCCGAATCAGTCTTCTTGCGTCAATCAGTTCGGATGAGGTGGTAGCAATCCACTGGCTCTTAATAACTTTAGGTTTCAGGTTACTAACAGCTTTTACAGCTGTGTCTACAGGTTACTGTATGATGTCCCAGGCGACATCAGGGGAAGTCCTGCTGTCCACCTCAGATACTTGTTTCGCTACTTCTTCCTCTAATAGGTACTCAAAGTCTCGATCTAGTCGGGGACGTAACTGTTTCGCTGCCAGCAATTTCCCATGTCCGTTTATTCGTAGGCATAAATGTGCGTGAACCAAAGCCTGATCAGAGTCTACGCACGTGTTCCAATAAGAGCGGCAGTTTTCTTTTGATCCTCGCCAACGATACCCTATGGCTGTGTGGTGTATCTGAGTCCAGCGTTGATTTAGTGATGGAGGTTGCCAGGTTACACAGTGTCTTTCTTTGTGCCTAAAGTTAGTGCTGACTAGAAACAGATGATTTTCTGAGCAAAACTGTAGAAGACGATCACCATTGTCAGTTCGTCGGCAGGGAACTCCATACGCATCACCTATATACTTCTTAGTCTGGCACAACTTCCCTACTTGGGCTTTGAAGTCGCCTGCTGAAACAACCATATCTGAACGTTTTGCTTTTTGCAGGAAATTAGACAGTTTCAGGTAGAAATCATCCTTTCGTTCATCTGAACTTTAGTCTGTTGGGGCGTAAGCTGAGACTATGTAAAGACAACGATGAGTAACGCCGTCCTTTCATGGCTCGAGTTGCCAGAGTTCTTGCTAGTGATGCCTGTTGTCCGACTTGGCAGAGGGTCTTGACATTAAATACTTCTCAGTATGAATTTGGCGATGTGGCTTGAGAGTTTATGGGTGTAGTAGTGGAGTCATGTTAAGGCGACTGCAGAGAACTCGATGAAATATGGAGAGATGTGCACTGTTGAAGCCCAATGTCTGTCCCACGTGGTACCCTACGGTAAGGTTCAAACTCCATGTGTTTTTGTACCAAGTATTAGGTAAGTAGTAGTAGCCAATTACCTTATAGTATCCTTTACAATACCTTTTAGTGAAGTATTTAAATCATATATTCTGGTGTTGTAATACAAACATTGTATTTCAAGGGAATATTATCCCATCATATTCCCACACTTCAATACTGCATTACTAGCAGAATACGATATATCTATCTGAACATATTGATCACTTGAAAATATACCCTATCGTAGCAGATATATTTATGAACAGCTGGTAGGGAAAATATTGCTCTTAATACATTTAATCCTACTTCAAAAATATGGTAGAGATTTGTCGGTGACACTTACACACAGAGTGTTAAAAACAGAACATATCTCCCTCTAGCTTCTTGACACATATAAACTCACACTAGTTGAAGAATAAAATTCACATTTGAATAGGAAATTGAACAAGGAGAATTAGCACGGTGTTAGATTGCAAAAAAAAACAAATAGAAGGTAAACAAGCCTATACGATGAAATGAAACAGATAGAAGAATAGCTGGTTGGTGTTAAATAACTAACTATCCTATAAAGTTCATTAGGAAGATCGAAAAAGGCCAAAAGAAAAAAAATAAAAAATAAAGAGAATATAAATCATCTACTGTAGAGACCAAAGAAAAAATGACTCAATGCAAATACCAGAAATATGGAAGATATTATTACCACCAGTCAGTCAAATCAGAGGAGGATAATAAATAATCTTAAAATTCTCTTTCAATTCATATAAATCACAACATTCTAACAAGTTACTTATTTATTTTGACTATAAAAACACTCGTCTTATTTCTCCTCTGATTGTAATTAATCACTGATAACACTCATATTATTATTATTTCTGAATGCACATTATCCTATATTGGTTGATTTTTATTCAAATGTCTAATCAGTTCCACTCATGAATATAAATTAAGCAAGAGAGTTGTGTGATTAGTGCCTTGACATGATTATGAGTGTCTATAGTTTGTGCTCGAAACGTGGTCGCATCAGTTCATATTACTGTATAACACTACACTGTGTAACGGTTTGTCAAAATAAAATCTTATCTATCTATAATGGAGTTATACTCTACTACTACCACAGTGTCCAAGTTTTATAACTTATACCTTTGCTTTTGTGTCTGGCCTTCTAATATTACAATATTGCTATAATTATTTAATTGATTACGTAATCATATGCGAGTCATTGACTTTATCTTTTCATTTATATTTATTCCATGTGGCGCAATAACAGAATGTGTATCCATTGAACCACAGAAGATTGATGCTAAACAATTACAAGATGTCGAATCAATAAAGACTTTTCTTCAAATCCATGAATTGATTATTGATTTTGACCAGTGAGTTTTTACTTCTTTGAGGTTGTTTATTTATTTATTTATTTATCTTTTTTCCTATTCATTTACGTTCCCAGTGCTGGAACATCGTGGCGCTTCAGAATAGAGCTCTTTTGAAATTTCGGTAGCAGTGGTGTTTATTTTGTTTTTACAGGATTGGGTTGCTAACCAGCTCATGCCCAACCTTCCCTCTTTGCCGGTCTTATTACAGGCTTAAAGAGGTAAAGAAGTGCGTCTGTGGCGAGATCCGGGGATCGAACCCCGGATCACATGAGGCGTGGTTGGCGAACATTCTATGGCTAAGCCATTGTTATCTTACTCACAAATGCCGACATGAATTTCCTACTTATATTTACTTTTGTGTACCAACCTGAGCAGGAGAAGAGTCCGGGTTCAGTGTTTCCGACCGATGGGCCTCCCAAACATATGTGTCGTCTATTGGCCGAAAGTAAAAGTAGAATAATAATAGTTTGCTTTATTCCAGAAACAGTACTAGTGGTACAGTGTGGAATTTTCAGCGGTTATCTACATTATTGCATCTAATTTTATCAAACATTTAAAAGGAGAGTATTTCAAAAAGTAAATATAAAAAACAACAACAAAAAAAACACAAAAATAACAAAAATGCGAAAAAATACCAAGAAGTAGAAAGGAAAATAAACAACAATAATAAATAATACCTCAGTATTGGAAGCTATGATATGTGTATGCGTGGTGAACAGTAACAGCTATAGTCATACTAGAAGTTATGAAATGTTCTTGAGAATGTTTATAGCCAGGATGATCAGTTAATTTGATTGAACTACACTAAACAATCATAAAATAAACATTTTCAGGTTGTTGCTTTTTATTGTCAGCACTAATGCGGTGTTTGTAGTGATAGTGTGAGTAATCATGCATAATACAAACATTTTTAGGATGGTGATAACGGCGTTCACAACGAAGATTGTCAGTTTAATATTGCCGAACAAAAGACAGTCACAAAACTAATATTATATGATGGTTAATGACAGGAAAATTTTGTAATAATCATAGTGATAAATATAGTCGGAACCAGTAGATATACAAAAGAAAGAATAGAATAAAGTACAAAAAATTAAGCCAAGCTAAGTATTTTTAAGAAGGTGTTCACTACAGAATACAAATAAGAGAGAAATAAAAGGGGCAAAATTATGTTATTAGCAACAAAGCAAGTCATAGGTTTCGCGCTTAACATTGTCTCTGTCACATAGAACACGGGTCAAATATGGTATCGTTGGGTTGAAACCCAATACCTTCTGGTTACATGGCAATCTCGTATACCATTCAGCCACTGGGACCCGATTCATTGGCCAGTGCATGAATTCTAACTTCTACCAATTCGTAATTTAGCACGACAACCAACGACTGTCATCAGTGGGAAATCGATATTCTCACACTTGACTGGTTGGAGCTCACTGGTCACGACTTCTCACCAGAACTCCAGGAAACTCTGTCCTTTAGCAAGTCACTAATCGCGCTAAATCACGAATTCGTAGAAGTTAGAATCCATGCACTGGCCAATGAATCGGGTCCAAGTAGCTGAATGCTCTACGGGCCAACCTTTTCACCTGGCTCCACGTCTGCCCACAAGCTTTGATCTTCTCTTCTCAGCATAACCTCCTCAATGTCAACCTCGCACTGACAACCAACTCGCCGATTCCTATTCTGTTGGTTTGCACTCGAGCAATGGCCTGGCGTGTGATGTCACTCACTTAATGGTTGGTTTTTCTGGAGTATGGCGGCCAATCCATCTCCATTTCTTCCTGCATATTTGTTGCACAATTCATTCCTGGTTGGTTCGTCGTTCCCAGAGATCTCTGTTGCTCGTCTTTTCTGGCCAGCCATCTATTCTTGAGCGAAGACAGCTGTTGATGAAAGTTTGTAGTTTGTTCGAAGTTTCCTTCGTGACACGGTGCCAAATCTCTGATCCGTGTTGTGAGTAGCACTAACTTCGTAGTGGATTTGAAAATCCAGATCTTATTTTTCATGCTGAGTGCTAGGTGTTGATCTCCACACAGACTTGAGAGTAATGAAAGCGTGCCTTTCTTTCCCGATCCTCTCTGCTTTGATATCCTCGTCAGTTCTGTCCTCATGTAGTTGAAACGACGCTTCCCAGGTCGGTTGGTAGTTAGGTAGGTAAAGGAGGTGGCTTCTTTCAGATTTCGCTCATTTATGCTGATTATTGCCTGTTGATGTTGCTGTGGCTGTTGCTGTTGGCCCGGGTTCTTCATCATCACCTCTGTTTTTTTCTTTAGGTTCACCTGAATTCATATCTTACTTTTGATGCTTCTTCTGCCAACTTGTTGCTGTTTATCACTTGCATATCTTCCAGTTTGTGGGAAATCAGACTTATATCACATTGGCGAAATCCAAATCCTCCAAGTTGTTTTCGTGTGGATTGATTTTATCCTTGTCTCCTTGTTGCCCGCCACTGTCTTTCGCATTATCCAGTCTACCGTAATCAGGAAATTAATCATTGGAGATAGTAGGCAGCCAGCCAGCCTTGCCTTACTCCCATTTTCACTCCGAAGGATGTTGTTAGTGATTTGTGACTGGAAATTGTTCTCAATAATAATAATAATTTACTTTATTCCAAAAACAGTACTTGTGACACAGAATGGAATGTTCAGCATTAATCACAATATTGCATCTAATTTCCTCAAATTATAAATAAAAATTAATCCCACAGGAAAATTTCCACATTTACAATAGAGGTAATGTCAAAAATATGCAGCATATAAAATGGAGATAACAAAATAATGATAACAGCTAGGGTAATAATAATAAGAATACAAGTGAAAATTGCCGTTGGCTTGTGTCACACAGTATTGGCAATGTGGTATTGAATATAATGTTCTCTATACATGATATGGTGAAGGGAAAAACAAAGATTACAGCCGTCATGGAGATAAGTTGGTGTTTGCAATTATGAGAGTAAAACAAAGAAGCAACAGGACCATAAATATAATAGAAATAATAAAAGTAAAACTTGAAGGTATATAAGGATGGATGGAGGAAATCGTTTATTTACTAGATGAAAAAAGGTTAGTTAATTCTTGCCTGACACTATTTTCATTACATAAAATACGTGCCAAGTATGGTATCATAGAATTTCTATACTTAGACGTGCGAGCATACAGTTTCCTAAAGTTACTTCTTGTTCTACCTGAGGAGATGCAAGGTGAAAGCTGAGGGTAAAGTGAATGCTCCAAGTCAGATGACGAAATCCCTCTAGCAAATTTATTGCACGAAGTCAAGTGCCTATCGATAACGACGTTAACTATGTGCTCCACTGGGACACCACTCACCCTACTGACAGTCTTCAGTATTCTACGAATTGTGACATAGTCTTTTTTAAGCAAACCAGGAAAGAATAAGGGTGAGCAATAAAGAAGAATGGGTAGGATGCAAGAGTTTACGAACTGTAGGATGAGGGGTTGAGTTATACCCGAGTGTCTTAACTTCTTAATGTAAAATGTCAAGCGGAATATTTTACTGGAGATTGCTAAGACATGGGAAGACCAGGAGAGATCAGAAGAGAGAATGAGTCCAAGATACTTAATTTCTGATTTAATTCCTATATCATTGTCGTCAATTTTACAACTGTCATGAGAATCGATGACTTCTTTTAACTGTCTTTTACATCTTAAGCTGAAATTACTCGGTTTGACATTTAGAAGGATTCAGTTTACGATCGTTAGACTCAAACCATTTACTGACTCCCGACAGAAAGCTATTTATTTTGGTACAATCTACCTGGGAGTTAGCAGCCATTGAAACTGTTAGATCATAAGCGTACTTCACAAAGTTTATTTCATCATAGCGTTCAGGTATGCATTCACTTTGTGCAATCTCTCCTATTCATTAAATGCTCTCTCACACACACACACAACCACACGTGTGTGACTCACAACCTGTCTGGTGAAGGAAAGACCTATTCTCTCTGGTTAATTTGAATTAGGACGAATAAATCTCGCATATTTTAAATAGCCCTCTTAATTAATTTTATTGAACATTTAATGAAAAATAAATAATCGGGACAACTATGATCAGATCATTATATAAGGAAGAGGTGATAATATTGATGTTGAAAATCAAAGCGTTTTAATTATATATTCGAATTTTTCCACGACCTATAAATCCATTATTACACAAACATTGATATTATTTTATATATGTATATATGTTCAAACCAAGTTCACTGAGACCGAGCACTTCGGTCCAATCAATCTACGGAAATAATCTAAAATTCAATTCAATAAATAAATATTATGACCCGTTACTGAAGAGGTAGTGGCTCTCGTGGCCAAAGCGGTGGTCTAGTGGATAACGCTTTGGCTGATGTTTGAAGCTATGGGCACTGGGTTCGAACCTCCGTGATGGGAACATCATCACTCACCTACTGGGGAATGGAGGTACATGCTGTGACGATAGCTGACGAGTCCCAAATGTGACGAAATGCGCGTTATCCTGGATTGATTCCACTGCTAGTCACCATTCACCAATTTAATGGACTTTTAACAGTTTGAGAAAATTTCGGCATTGGGTATATGATATTCATTATTATAAAGAGTTTTTGTATTTCCCAATGAATGAAAGCCAAAACGATATTGTCGCTTTTACTGACGTTTCTCTATTGTATGCTGCTGCTAATAGCTTTATCAAAGTAGTAGTATTATTAAACCGGAATTTACAAAATCCACTCAGCTTTTGTATACAACAACTTAATCATCGTTCCTCAATATGGGGGTCATCTTTGCGTTGTCATATTGGCCAATTGGTAAAGATAACAAAACCAGGAGTATAGGTTGTTGGATTTGATTATTATTATTATTTTATCCTTTAATTCCTAGAGGAACATAGGGCTTCAGCTGGACGCCTCCATTGCCTTCTGTTTTCTGCCAGCTTTTCACCTGGCTCCATGTCTACCCACATGCTTTCATCTCCTCTTCATATGACCTCCAAGTCATCCCACCGTGGGA